TATAATCTGATTTTTAAAAAAAAATCACAGTATATCAAAAGAATTTTGTCACATGAGCAGGGGCGGATGGCCTAAGGGGTCTTTAGGGGCCCTGACCCATGTGCTTTTTTGTCTAGATAGGGTATTATTCTTGGTCCATAAGCTTGAAGTATACACAAAAAATCAACCGGCCCCTCCACTCTTTAGTCCACTCTTGATCCAGCGACGACGCAGACAACAGCGAAAGCCGGAAGGCGGACATCGACGAGAGTCATGAGTGACGAGGCGACGAGTGGACGACGACAGGCAGGCCGCAGGCAGCAGCACCGCATCAGCGACGCAGGCGGCGAGCTCTCGACGACGGTAAGTCCTTCTGTAACCTAATATGTTCTGAATTTCCTACCARCWRTAGAGTATAGAGATAAGTTATAAAATTAAACCATTGGTGATTGGACATTGGTCTTCTCCCCTGTTCTGCTGCACTTTTTGTTTTGAAATCAAAACCCTAAGATTAGGCCAGTAAATAGTTCTTGTTCCTAGACCAGTGTAAAGATTAAAGAAGTTGAAGAATGTTCTCAATATCGAAAAAAAACCTTATTGAAACCCAAAGAGGCAAAGAGTGATTAGTAGAACTTCTTGAAGAAACAAGTTGTGTGTGTGTTTTTTCAGTAAAAGGTTGATTGGGAAGAAGGGTATCAGTCGGATAATCAAAGCTTAGCCATCCAAACCATGGTGCGATTCTGGGTTGTGGATTGCTTTCTGAACCACACTGCAAAGCCATAAGCATTTTCTCCAACATCATAAATTACTAAAGGACTAAAATTCTCCTCAGTAACCAGACTTAAAGGTAACCGTGTATCAACAAATGATTCAGCTAGCATTTCTACACGTGTAGAATGGCCCATTAATGAAACAAATTCATTATATACAAAAAATGCACTTGAATTTGGAGCTTTTGTGATGTTCACCTCAGTGAGACTTCCATCCAATCCTGTTATAGGAATCTCTAACTCAATGTGCTTATAAGAGAAAGTTTGAGAAGGGGACATATGTTCCTCTTATAGGAAACTCTAACTCNCTCTAACTCAATGTGCTTATAAGAGAAAGTTTGAGAAGGGGACATATGTTCCTCTTATAGGAAACTCTAACTCCATCGGTTTTGGTTCCAATTCCCACATGTGCTATTATGTGCTATTGGTGGTTTTGGTTCCAATTCACTCGGTTTGGTTTTCGGTTTTGCTGTTATGTGCTATCTTTCGTAGTTGATAGTATATTTTTGGTATTTTTGGTATTTTTGAAAATATATAATATTAGGTCCGGCCCCTGCACTTGGAAAGTTTGTGTTCCGCCCCTGCACATGAGTGTAAATAGCTCTAAGATTCATAGAAACTTCAAGTAATCCATGTGATTCTTCTATAACCTGAAAATCCAATAGAGTGAGTGATTTATTATCGAAAATTGAAATATTGATAAAGTATTATCAGTAAAAGTATGTAAAGAAGTTAATGTTTAAAAATCCGATATTGGCATGATACTGAAATTTCATGTATAAAATAACGATTATGAATCATTATCCTTTATTTTTCGTAAAAAATCATATACTATCCTTTATTTTTCGTAATGGTTGAAACAATTCATCCCAAATTTGATGTCGTAAACTCAAAAGAACTTGTATACAGTAGATGTTTGTACCATGTAGAGACTACCTTCGTCGAAAAGGTATAATAAAATACTTTAAAAATCAACTCCTGTATTGACCCTAAAAACCAAGCATTTGAGAAGATACAAGTAAATACCTTTAAGTTTTTCAGACGACACATCGGTTTTAATCTTCAGAGGGAATACCTTGTGCTAGAAACCCTGAAATAACTCAGGGACGCCCTGAAAAGGAGAACCGAGAATATTCATAAACATGTACTTCCCGGCCTAATTGTACAATGAAATAAAACTCGCTTACTCGATTACAAGAAGATATTGATTACAGTAAAGAAACAGTGTCTTAAAACACCTATCTATCCATGTGGTAAGGAAATCACAGACAATGACGTGATTCATAACACCATTTCCATCTTTAATATATCAGCAATCATACTACCGAACCATTATAAGCTTGAAAACCTTTAGACTAACTCATCAACCTATTGCAAGTGGTTTAAAGACGTAACAAGGTACTTTCAAATAACAATGTTAGACATGTTGGGACAAAGAAAAGTCTTGAGGTCAATAAAGCAAACGTTAGAGGTAGAAATAACTCCAAATGACAGTAAGTTAAAGACAATTTCACACACACATGTCATCTATGCGCACCACGTGGACGAGACAATGGAAATGGTTATGGCAAGAGTTGGGAATGATTTTCCAACCTTCGGAACAGAAATGCAACTACCGACTAGGAGATAATGAATAATCAAAGAGAAAATGTTTTAATAAATTTTCATATAAAAAAGGGAACAAGTTGAAATTTATTGATTTTAAAATTTATTTCAAGTTTTAAATTAATTCCATCTGCATATGTAAAATCGAATATATAATTATTGAAGTTATATTGAAATACATCAAAAACAAATACAAAACTATCAATATTCTCCATTAAATGTAGAAATGTATCAAGGAGAACTTCAGTGTTTTTATAGGACCTCTCACACAATCTTAATCGATAGATTAATACTTATTGAATTAGCTGTCTATAATTACTCCAACCAAATTCATATGCTAAACTGTCACCTCCTTGTTGCCTAATGGCACAAGATTACTAGTCACAAAGCACTACATTAATATAACATTTGTTAAGATATTCGTTTCACATGAAAATCATATTACGAGGATGAAAATAGGTATATGTACATAAGATATTAGAGAAATAATGTGTTAAACTAGTGGATTATCTAGGTCATTGAATCATATTTTATTATCAATAAAGAACTTTGGGATAAAGACACATAAATGTTTCGATATGACCACGTGGGACACAATGATCATCACATAATAGTCTGTTTGTTGAAAATACATATAGATACATCCTCTTTCGAGTGAAAGGTAAATGGAGATAATTATCCAAATAACAACTGTTGATTTATGCAGGACAAAAAGCACCATCGTCATTATATTGCCTTCTCGAATACACATAAAACTTTTCCTAACCCTGCTCCTTAGCCTACACAGGAATGAGATCATCTTAAAGCTAAAGAAATAATACAAAAATGTTACATTCTTACAACGAATACAATGTGATAATTGTGAACCTATACATCCAGAATGCGGGCCATTCAAGTACATTATGGTTTTGGTTGATGTTTTGATACGATAGACGCAATATGTGATTTTTTGGTATATTTGATCAGATGCAATACTTCTGCTTTTTGATTTGTTGGTAATCGAAAAACACACTAATATTATCCGATTTCTAAAGAAAAAGAATTGGGTTCCATTAGTTATCGGCAAAAATACTACCCGGATATTTAAAAAGAACCAGATTATATTAAGCAACACTCACGACCCTTACTAACCAAATACTACCCCCTAAAATAATAAAATCGGGTTCCATTAGGAAAATACATTCATGTTGTTCAACCGGGTAGCATAACCGTGACATTACTACCCCCCGTTACGACCTGGTTGAATAACCAGGTAGTAATATATCATTTTGCAACCGGACTGTATTTACATTTCTCTAGTAGGGAGTATCTAAAACAATAATACTAATATTTTTTTTCAATACATATTATTGCCAACCCGTTTAACCTTTCTTATGACGTTGATGATCTCAAATACGTCTTTAATAACTTGAACATTGAAAAACTTTTTTCAGCAGATGCTACGGTCATATGTACTACCAACATAATCCAATAAGCAATTGAAACATTTGGTTAACGATTTGCAACTTTAGCAAGCGAACTCAAGAACTTTAAGTACCGACACTGATTGATACAACAAAGTTATCTGCAACACTTATGATTCAGAAAAAACCATTTAAATCTACATCCACCACATTATTACAAGAACAATTATTAGCAACATTTACACACGATCTCATGAGTCTCATTCAATAACTTTTAACTTATGCGAAGAATTCAAACACACTTTCAAAAGAAACCAAAGAAAAACCAAATAAGAATTCACCTCTTGTCTCACGACTTGAACAAATGAGTGATTCCGTCGATGGACTAGAAGGAAGGTCGTGATTTTTCTCCAATTGCCCGTCACGTTTCACACATTAGAATTTAGAAATCCCAATTGAAGTCGGGATTCGGCCCCAAGGCTTTTGGTCTATCACGATTTGAGCCTTTTAAAACACGATCTTTTTTTACAAACAATATAAATTTAAAAAATTCCGGCCCTTATTCTGTCGGGCCGCTAGTACAAGCCCAAGTGGCGGACTTACTATGTAAAAGATGGGGGGAAGGGCCTCCATTAAAAAATAAAAAAAATAACTTTCCTAGGTTAAAAGTTATCTTTTTACTTTCTACCATGGTTTTCCTCATTAATTTCTTGTTAGAGCCCCCACCAACTAAGAAAGTATCTCGAAATCAACCAAAAAACTGAAAAAAGTATTTCGAAATCAATAAAAAAACCCTTAAAAATCCCTCGAAATAATCCAAAAAAAACTTCAAAAATCTCTTGAAATGGTGGAATTAGACTAAAAACACATCGGACGACTTTGTGGGCGTTTAAGCTACCTTAAAGGTGCCCCACTAGACCAAAATCCTGGATCTGCCACCGCCAGCCCGCCCTCGATCCCCAACAACGGGCGGGCCAAAGAGTGACAGTTCTTTAGTATAAACAGTGTAACTGAGAGCAACTTATGCACACGCTGCAATGGCGTTCCTATGCCTTTGCCGACCAAAATTCATTCACTGAATCATGAGCACGAAACGTTTGTTTGGTAGTTAGAAGAAAAAGAAGCAAATGGCGAAAAAAAGAAAGAAAAGAAGTTCAACAATAAACCATGTTTCTTTAACATAAATACTCAAGATCTCATTCGAACTTCAAACAGACATCGTCTTCTCCCTCGATCAGAACCCATGAAAACAGCTATGTTATCATCAAACGCATGTTTCTTAGTAGAATCAATCATATCGGTTTCATGTCTTTTAGGTTTACTTGCGGTCGTAAGATCCAGCAGCATTAGCTTCACCACTGATTTGATCCATCGCGACTCACCATCATCTCCGTTTTACGATCCTTCCAACACCCTTTTCCGGCGAGTGGTTTCCGCCATGAATCGGTCTTTTGATCGTGCTAAGTTCTTCAACTCCATGCGTTCGTCTGGTGTAACTAATATCTTTCCCAATCCTCAAATTGCTGATTATCTCATGAAGATATCGATCGGCACTCCACCTCTAGAAATCTTCGGTGTTGCTGATACCGGAAGTGACATAATCTGGACACAATGTGAACCATGTTCCTACTGTTACGATCAGAAACCACCCATTTACAGCCCAAATAGTTCGTCCAGTTATGATTCGATAACATGCGATTCGACAACGTGTATGTTGGTTCCGATGAGATCTTGTTCGTCATCAGACAACACTTGTTTGTATCTGGTTGTGTATGGAGATCTCTCGTATAGTTCCGGCGAGTTAGCAACTGAAACGATCACCTTAGAATCGAGTTCGAGTTCGAGTTCGAGTTCTGATCATGGTGGCAGCTCGTTTGCTTTTACGAAAGTTGTGTTTGGATGCGGCCATAGAAATGCAGGCATGTTTACTTACGATCAAAGTGGGATAATCGGCCTTGGAGGAGGGCCGTTTTCACTCATTTCACAAATGGGGTCTTCGATTAACAGAAAATTTTCATATTGTCTTGTGCAGATGTTTTCTCATGCAGAAAGGTCGAGTAAAATGTATTTTGGTGATGCTGGCACGGTGGTCGGAGATGGGGTGGTTTCTACCCCGATATTTTCCGGTTACCCAGAAACCTTTTACTACCTGAATTTCCAAGGCATGACCGTCGGAGACCAACGTGTTGAATTTTACACCACTAAACCTAAATCTGTGGAGGGTAACATCATCATAGATTCTGGAACATCGTTGACGTTGGTTCCCGGAGAATTCTACCAACGGCTGCAATCGGCGGTGCGACGGTCAATGGCGGATATCCACCCTATCGGCGGTGACCTGCAACATAATTTAGGTTTGTGTTATAATCCGTTAGAAGTGATGGATCTTCCGGTAATGGTGGCTCATTTCAATGGCGCCGATTTGAAGTTGGATCCGATGAATACTTTTGTTCAAATGAGCAATGATTCGATTTGTTTGGCGTTTGCTCCGGTGGATGGTGTCGTCATCTTCGGGAATCTTGCACAGATGAATTTCTTAGTGGGTTATGATCTTGATAAGAAAACAGTTTCCTTTAAACGGACAGATTGCATCAAGTTGTGATCAAAGGAGAGGTTTGGTATGGGTATAAATTATTTATCCAAAGAATCAAAAATGTTTGTTACCGGTATCATACAGGAATAAGTAAATAAGTTGTTATTTGATTTCTTCTATCTTCTAATTGTATTTTTTTTTAAATTGTTCAATGTCATCGACTTATTGAGTAACAGTAAAAAGAATTGTGTATATGATATACAAATTTACTGTCATGAGTCGCATTTTCGATGACCTCATCCTGACTCATAAGACTTAAGGTTTGATCTAAGTGCCACGTGACATGCCTTAAGCCATTTAGAACTTTATATGTTCAACGGAATCCATTGAATTTAACAAACTTTCGTGAAATCTGCTATTGACTTTTGGGTTATTCCGCTATTGAATTTCGCGGAAAATAGTTTTAAAGCAGTGATATGTTTTCAACGAAGTAATTAGGGTCGTAAACGAACATGAAGGGAGGCTAAACCGTGTTCATTCATTTAACTTGAATGAACAATTGAACAAAGACGAACAATAAACAAACTGAATTTTCTATGTTCATGTTCATTCGTTAAGAACATGTGTTTGTCCGTGCGCCTTTACGTTCATTTGTGTTCGTTTGTCAAGATGCTAAACGAATGAACATAGAAACAAAAACGCACATAAATAAATGAGTACAAATGAATAAAAAATGACCACCATTATTCATTAGTAAATTTGTCCTTGAAAAATAACAATACCAAAATGAAAACCGGGTAAACGTAGAAGGGATAAAAAAAGGATTCTAAAATTTTAGTTTGATTAATGATCAGTATGATGATATGTATACACTACAACAAAATCGGGTTTATAGGACACTCCCAATTTCTAGCCGTCCTAATAGACCTTTTTACAAGACTTAGTTTATAGGACCAAAAAAATAAAGCGTCATATCTAAAGGCGTTGTAATAAGTTTATATGACATCGTAATAAGTTTTTTTTAGGACACTTTTAATATAAAGCACCCCATTAGCAACTTTATAAAACACTATTTGAAAAACAGTCCTATAAAAAGAAATGTTTTATAAAAAACTGAGTTTATATGACACTTTCTCAAAAGTGTCCTATAAAGTTGCTAATGCTACACTTTATATTAAAAATGTCCTAAAAAACTTGTTAAGACGCCAAAAAACGTCATATAAACTTATTACAACACTTTATATTTTGGTCATATAAATTAAATCCTATAAAGCGATCTATTGAGACGCTTAGAGATTGAGATGTCCTATAAATCCAATTTTGTTGTAGTGATATATACATAAACACATATGAGTGAAGGATCGTGGGAGAAGAGAAGTTATGGTGATAGACTTAAGAAGACATCTAAACATTTGATCATTTTTAATCTCAAGCTCATCCACTAATTGCATTTTGGAAGATAATTGATCTAGTGCATCTTATGCTTCTCACCTTAATTTCCCTTCTCACCGGAAACCAACTACCCACCCCCCATACACGATACTGCGTGAAGGATCTCGACTATGAAGTCGAGAACTTGAAATATTTAGCAATTTTGTTTCACGTTTTCTTCTATTTTTCGTGTATGGTTTCATGTGATAAATAAATGCAGGTAACTTTTTCTGTAAACCATGAATAAAATTTAGGGCAAAATGCATAAAATAGTAATATAGTTTCATAAACTTTTTTATTATAGCATTGTACTTCTGGTTTTTTTATTACAACAATGTACTTTCAAACTATTTTTTATTAGGACATTGCACTTTGAAAATTTTACCCATTATAGTATTGAGTAACCTTTTGATTTAAATTTACCCAATATATCAGGTTTCCATGTCACCTCATTGTTCATGTAGGCTGTCCACACGTACTATAGTGATGTGACATTTCTTATTACAACATTGTACTTTCAATTTTTTTAATTATAACATTTATTAGTTCTTATTAAATAATGTATTTTTAATTTTAATATGTAGATATATGTTATTTAATAAATATATTAAATGAATAAAAAAAATCTAAATTATTCATTAATATACCAATATTAATAAAACTAGTAGAACATAATTTATCTCGCTAATATTTTTAAAAGAATATGTATTTTTTGAAAAAAGAAAATAAGAATTGTTCTTTTTCTTACTAAAAAAAATATTATTTTTTAAAGAATATATTATATTTGTTTAAAAAATTTTACTTGACGTATAAATATATTAAATTAATTAAATTTTTTTTTAAATTATTCATTAATATGTCAATATTCAAAAATTGTTGATCACAATTTATCTCTGTAACTCTTCAAAAAGAACTTTAAAGATATGTATTTTTTTGAACAACATAAAATAAGAAGTGTTACCTTTTTTACAAACAAAATATATCTCGAAAATAATTTATCATATTTATTTAAGAAATATTTTACTATAGAATATTTAATTTCATGCAATTTAACAAAAAAAAAAATCAAAAAAATTAAATTTTTTTAAAATTATAGCAATGAAAAATAAAAATCACTAATAATAATTTGAAATAGCTTTTATTTTTTATTTTAGTTAAGTCATCAAAATGATGTGTTATCCACATCATTTCATTAAAGTCAAACAAACAAAAAAGGTCAAGGGGTTAACCGGTTTAGAAGCTAACAAGTTATCCACTGCCATAATAGGTAGATTTTTAAAGTACAATGCCTTAATAAAAAATAATTTAAAAGTATATTGTTGTAATAAGGAAAAACAAAAGTAAAATATTATAATAAGAAAATTTATAAAAATAGGTTGTTATTTCATTAATTTAACCTTAAAATTGAATACAATTCATGTCCTTGAATACATTCTCCTTTTTCGTATCCCAAAAGCTCAGTTGACACCGTCTATTAATGGCTCTTTCGATTATTGCATAACTACAAGTGAAACAAAAAAACCTTCTATAAGAAGGGATGGGTCCAGGTGCCTTCTACATTTCTTAAACAAATTTGTAAGTTAAAAACAACCACGGTCCGTTTACCAAATACTTATCGGATCAACGCTTATTGATATCATTTACTTTTACATTTGAGTATGGTAAAGACTAATAATCTAACCTGGTAAGACTTTAAGGGGCATAGAAAGGACCAAGAATCTAACCCCGTAAGAGGAATAGCAAGGACTAAGAGTGAAAGAAAAACTATCTAGTTTAAGACACTTAAGAGTCGTTTATCAAATGCTTACCTGAGTAAGTGCTTATCAAATCACATTACCTTACCGGATGAGTAACGCAAGGACCAAAAATCTTACCTGGTAAGAGCGAAGACAAGGACCGAGAGTCATACCCGGTAAATGAAGACGACGACTCTTACATGGTTAGCGCTTACCAGGTAAATTGTTGGATATGATGCCGTTTTAGTGGACTAAAATATTACCCGGTAATTAAGTAATAGTGTTGAATTTACCCGGTAAACGCGTACCGGGTAAATGTTTAAGTAAACGACCCCTTACTAGTAATCCAATTTGATGGCCCAGAATGTTACATGATAAGATAAATGAGAGTATGATTCTTGCCGGTAAGCGCTTACTCAATAAGCATTTAGTAAGGTGACCCCTAAAAACAATATAGATTCTTCCACCAAGTAAATCTGTCACGCTTGGTAAGTAATGCGAAGTCTCCAACATTTATAAGAGGTCGTTTACTAAACGCTTATCCATTAAGTACTTACCGGGTAATTTTCCTTACCGGATGAACATGACAAAAGCTAAGAATCTTATCCGGTAACAACGATGATAAGGATAGAGAGTCTTGCTCGATGGTGGAACAACTTGCTGTTGATAACTAACATGAATGGTTATAACAAGCAAAAGTTCAATCACAATGAAATCAAGCTAATGAAAGTGAAGGTTAAAACAACAAAGAGGCCACAATATACAAGAGACCTTATTATATCAATCTTTTAAACGCAACCTCACCTTCCCTGTAAACCCACGCTCATTGCAACTCCAACATTTCTCAGCCCAAGCAACAGAGAATTCAAGCTGAACTTTCCTGATGATCTCCAAAACACGACATTAGTGGTGGTTATAAATGTGAAGATTCCAATCAGAGCAGTTCTTATGTGTTGAATGTTTGAAATAATGCGACCGTTGAACTTGAAGTTGCATCCTTTCGCCCAACAAATTCAAGAATTTCTCTACGTTTCAATCTCAAAAGCACTGTCTTTAACATCAGATATTAAAGAACTTCGCAAAATTCATTCAATTTTAGTTACTTCGGGACTCGATCGAACAGTTTTCTTCTCTGGCAAACTCATCAGCAAATACGCCCAACTGAAAGACCAACATTCATGTTCATCGGTTTTCGTCAGCGTTTCGCCTACGAACAATGTCTATCTTTGGAATACGATCATAAGAGCGATGACCCATAATGGGTTATTCTTAGAAGCATTGGATCATTATTTAAAGATGAGGGTTTTGAATATAAAACCCGATACGTTTACTTTTCCTTCGGTGATTAATTCTTGTGCGTGTTCAGGGCAGTCTGAAATAGCTAAGATTGTTCATCAACATGTTTTGGTATTGGGGTTTGGATCAGATTTATATATCAGCAATGCGTTAATTGATATGTATGCAAGACTATATTCGCTGGACATAGCACGCCGGGTGTTTGATGGAATGTCAAAGAGGGATGTTGTTTCTTGGAATAGTCTGGTTTCAGGTTATAGTGCCCATGAGGAATGGGAGGAAGCTTTAGAAGCGTTTTACCAATCTAGAACAGCTGGTGTGACACCGGATTCGTTTATGGTGACGAGTATTCTTCCTGCTTGTAGTGGGCTGGGTGTGATTATGGATGGTCAAATGGTTCATGGTTTGTCGGTGAAACTTGGGATTGATATCGATACAAGAGTGTGCAATAGTCTTCTTTCGGTGTACTTCAAATCCAACAACTTAAAAGAGTCTGACAGGGTTTTTAACGAGATGGCTGTTAGAGATACCATTACTTGGAACACTATAATCACTGGGTACTCTCAAGCATGCCTGTATCAGGAGTCGATCAAGTTGTTTATGGAGATGCTGAATGAACACAAACCGGACCTCTTAACAGTTACTTCTGTTCTCGGTGCCTGCAGTCACATTGAGGACTTGAAATCGGGAAAATTTGTTCATAATTACATGGCTGTAAATGGGTATGAATGTCACACGACAGCAAGTAATATCCTTATTGATATGTATGTAAAATGTGGTAATTTGCCAGCAGCAAGGGAAATTTTTAACAAAATGAAAAGCAGGGATTTGACGTCATGGAACTCCTTAATCAACGGTATTATTAAAGCAGCACAATATGAGGAAGCATTGGCAACTTTTGGGGCAATGAAAATGGACACAAAACCTGATTTTGTTACATACGTGACAATTCTTCCGGTGTGTGTACTGCTGAGGAGCATAAAGTTAGCAAAGGAACTTCATTGTGAAACAATTAAATCGGGATTTAATGCCAGTGTGATTGTGAAAAACGCTCTCATTGACGTTTATGCTAAATCTGGCAAGATGGACGATGCATTGAACCAATTTGAGGATATGAAAGATCGTGATACCGTATCATGGAATACCATTATTGCTGCATGCTCTCATTCTGAGGAATACGATTTAGGGTTTAGAATGATTAGTCGAATGAGAATTGAGGGAATACCACCAAATGAGGTCACTATTTTAAGTACATTGCCTTTGTGTTCAAGTTCTGGAGCGAAACGACAAGGCAAAGAGATTCATGGCTGTGTTTTCAAGTCGGGTTTCATGTCAAATATTCCAATTGCCAATGCACTGATCGAAATGTACTCAAAATGTGGCATTTTGAGAAATTCGATCCTGATATTTGAGCGTATGAAAAGCAGAGACGTTGTGACGTGGACGGCATTGATCTATGCATATGGGATGTATGGTGAAGGCAAGAAGGCCACAACAGCATTTGAGAATATGAAAGCTGCAGGTGTCATTCCTGATCAGATTGCATTTCTAGCCGTTATCTTTGCTTGTAGTCATTCGGGCTTGGTTGAAAAAGGGCGTTTTTACTTCAACCAGATGAAGAAAGATTACAAGATGAATCCTAAGATTGAACACTATGCATGTTTTGTTGACCTTCTTTCTCGATCTGGGCAGTTGGCTGAAGCAGAGGAATTTATTCTTTCCATGCCACTGAAGCCTGATGCAAGCATATGGGGTACTTTACTTAGCGCTTGCAGAGCAAATGGAGACATCAAGATTGCAGAACGTGCTTCAAAACATATCATCGAATTGAATTCAAACAATGCAGGGTATCATGTTTTGGTTTCAAATGTGTATGCATCTTTAGGGAAGTGGGATCAAGTTAGAATGGTGAGAAAATCCATTAAAGCAAAAGGACTTAAGAAAGATGCTGGTTATAGTTGGGTGGATATGGGTAAAAAGATCTATGCTTTTCGCAGTGGAGACAAGTTCTTTGAACAATATGAAGAGGTTAACCAGTTGCTTGAGGTTCTTGCTGGTTTAATAGCAAAAGAAGGGTATGTCCCTAACTTGAGGTCTGTTCTTCATGATGTTGACGAAGACGAGAAAAGAGACATTCTTTGTGGGCATAGTGAAAGGCTTGCCATTGCATTTGGATTATTGAAGACAAAACCTGGAACGCCGTTGCAGGTAATGAAGAATTTACGGGTTTGTGAGGACTGTCATACTGTGACCAAGTACATATCGAAAATTGTACAAAGGGAAATTTTAGTTAGAGACGCCAATCGGTTTCATTTCTTCAAGAATGGGTCATGTAGCTGTGGTGATTACTGGTGAAGATAAGTTACCAGCAGCCATGGACTGCAAGCTAAGGGAAAGATGAGTTGCGTGCAAGCTAAAGCACGAATGATCAATGGTCCGACCTACATTTTAGAGTAATTTGTGGTTAGAGTTATTAGATTTTCTAGAATTTATACTAATTTTGTTATATCTGTTTCAGGTTATGGCATTTTACTTGATCCAGAGTGACTTACTGACCTGGGAAGCAGATAAGGGTGGATGGATCGGGTGAGACAGGTATGAGGTACATTAGTTCAGCATTCTGAAAAATACTAAAATCTTGCTGCAGTCGCATATATCTATATTCATATAGATGTTTTTAAAGTAATATTGACAAACAACCCCAACAATGAAACATTACCAAAGAATTTAAAGGGATACCAAAATAATCTATCAACTTACTTGGTTGACTAAACTGTATTGAGATGCCATATCCTATGAACACATGGTCAACAAGCCTAGAGTGTTAGGAAAACTGAACAAGACAAGCAATGGATACTTACAACAGAAACAGGCAGCATACGAGTATTCAAACCAAGCAAAACTAACCCAGCATATCCACTTGGAGATAGGGTCTGGAGGAATAAAACTCTGCTGCCCCAGGATCCTATATCCTTGTCCCACCAATCACGTGAAGAGTACATTCTTTTATTTAATTCATCTTTTCATTCTCTCTCCTTAATAAAATGATGATTTGACTTGAATGATTGGTGGACATGGAGGGGACATGGAATTTGGGACAACGAATTTTTATTCGGTCTGGGGAGAGTGAGATATACGAATACTTGTCCTCTACCCTAAGAGTATAGTTGTTGTTTCCATAAAGACCTCCGGCTTGTAAAAGGTGTGTGAGAAAAAGTTGACCTGAAATTTTTGAAAGGCTCGCCAAAAAGTTCTTGATTTTTTTCAAGGATTTGAAAATAAGATTTCTGAAAAGAAGCAAGAAATTAAAGTATGCAAAATATAAAAAGAAATTATTACAGTGCAACATAGGAAAGGTATGAGAGACTACACAACTCTCTATCTGTCAAAATGTACAGGAATCCCTATAATTATGGAATATAGTTTCTATAATTATGGGATACTGTTACCTTCTTTGTCGTTATCTTTTCTGCATCTTTTTCTTGATTTCCTTGATTTAGTTTCTCTTTATCTCTTGTAAATACCCTATATATAGGGCCTTGTATAATCAAAGGAAAGTGGGAGAAATCATTATTCAATTCATCTTTCTTGTCATGGTATCAGAGCTTTAGGTTTCTCTCAGAAATCTAAAACCCTTGTTCTATTCTATTTCAGCCTTAATTGCTCTTCTCAGTGTGCAACCTTCATCATTGCAAGTGTTTCTGATGGAACAGCCTTAATTGCTGTATTTCCTTCGATTGAATGACCTTTTTATTCTCTTTTGCAAATCTCCCTACTTTCAACCAGATTTTATCACCCTGCTTTCAGTCACAAGGCATTATCCATGATTCTTCATGTGTTAACACACCCCAACAAAATATGGTAGCTGAAAATGATCATTTACTTAACACTACCCGAGCAATGCTTTTCCAGGGAAATGTTCCTAAATCCTATTGGGGGGAAGCTGTCCGTACTTCCACACACATGATAAACAGGCTTCCTTCACGTACATTAGGAAATAAAACTCCCATGGAACTTCTAGTGACTTTTACCCTCACTTTAGAACATCAAATGGTCTCACACCCAAGATTTTTGGGTGAATTGCCTTTGTTCACATCCACAACCAACATAGAAGCAAGCTAGACCCTCGAGCCATTAAGTGTGTCTTCCTTGGTTACTCATCCACTTAAAAAAGGTACAAATGCTACAATCCCTCATCCCACAAATTCTACATCTCTGTTGATGTCACCTTCATAGAATACAAACCTTTTTTCTTCAAGTCCTCTCTTCGGGGGGAGAAGTCAATGTTGGAAGATAGTCCTTGGGAAACTTTTTTTGAACCACTCAAAAAACTTGACCTCCCAACTCGTAGTGTTAGGCACCACATTAGAGTCCGTAGAGGAGGAACAAGTCGCATCCAAGTCATCCACCCCTTTAAATGAACCTGAACCATCCAATGAGCCAGATGAACCTGATTCAAACCCAAGTAGGGTCGTTGTCTCCAACAATTCTCCAAATTCTCCTCGAGTGTATACAAGAAGAAAGATTGTTCCTACGCCAACGCAAGTCCAAAACTATGACTTAGGTCTTGGGAATGAGAACACGGTAAGAGCTGATCCACCTTTACACACACAACATGCTTCCACCGATACCGAAGATGATCTACCCATTGCCAAGAGAAGGGACTAGAGAACGCTCTAAACGACCATTGTATTCATTATCTCACCATGTCTCTCTTGAACGCCTATCCCAAACCCACAAAAGGTTCATTATGAGTCTAAATACCATTTCTATCCCTACCAATGTTTAAAAGCATTATCAAAAAGGGAATAGAAGGATGCTATGAAGGAGGAAATGAGTGCATTAGACAAGCATGAAACATGGGAGATTGTTGATAAGCCAAAAGGAGAATACATTGTTGATTGTAAATGGATCTTTACAACAAAATATAATGCTGATGGATCCCTTGAGAGATATAAGGAAAGGTTAGTGGCCAAAGGATACACACAAAACTTATGGGGTTGACTACCTAGAGACATTTGCTCCTGTTGCAAAGATGAAAACCGTAAGAACTCTATTATCATTAGCTGCTAAACTAGGCTGGAAACTTTTGCAGTATGATGTAAAGAATGCCTTTCTTCATGGAGATTTAAATGAAAAAATATACATGAGTATTCCCCAGGTTTCAATGCTGACATGGACAATAAGGTGTTCAAGCTAAGAGAAGCTTCTACAGATTGAAACAATCTCCTAGGGCATTGTTTGGGAGATTTGCAAAAGTCATGAAGGAGTCTGGGTATAAACAAAGTCAAGGGGATCACACTCTCTTCATTAAACACTCGTCCACAGGGGGAGTAACTGCTCTCCTTGTCTATGTGGATGACATCATAGTTACAAGAAATGATGAGAGGGAAAAGATGGAATTAAAGGAAAGGTTGATGAAAGAATTCGAGATAAAAGAATTAGGAAGACTTAAATACTTCCAGGAATTGAGGTGGCATACTCCAAGCAAGGGATCTTCATATCTCAACAGAAGTATGTGACCGATTTATTGATAGAAACAGGAAAGAGTGGGTGTAAGCTGGTATCTACACCAATTGATCAGAACCATAAGTTGGGTGAAGCTAAAGAAGCACCGGCGGTTGACAAGAGAATGTACCAGAGGCTAGGCTGGTTGGCAGATTGATATATCTTGCTCACACTGGCTAGACATAGCTTACTCAGTGAGTGTAATTAGTCAGTTCATGCACGATCCAAGAGAACCTCATCTTCAAGCAGCCTACAGGGTACTACATTACTTGAAAGGTAATCCAGGGAAGGGCATTCTATTTAAGAAGGATAAAACTCTTACTTTCGAAGCCCACATTGATGTTGATTATGCTGGTTCTAAATTGGATTGTAGATCGACCTTAGGATATTGCATTTTCCTTGGAGGTAATCTGGTGTCATGGAGAAGCAAGAAGCAAAATGTGGTGGCAAGGTCTTCTGCAAAATCAGAGTTTAGGGCCATCTCTCATGGATTATGTGAGTTATTATGGTTGAAAATTATTATAAATGATTTACAAATCAAATGGGAAGATCCGACAAGTCTGCTATCAATATTTCTCATAATCCCGTTCAATACAAAGCATATTATCGACATTTCATTAAAGAGAAACTGGAAGGAGAATTAGTGTGCATATGCTTTGTGCCCTCAAAGAGTCAACTAGCCGATGTTCTAACGAGTTTTCATGGTCTTATTTCCAAGCTGGGAATGGAAGACATCTATTCCTCAGCTTGAGGGGGAGTGTCGAAATGTACAAGAATCCCTATAATCATGGAATATGGTTTCTATAATTATGGGATAACACATGCAAGTCGGACGGGAAGTGGTGTAATAACCAAAATAATAATAATAATAAATAAATAGATAAATAAATAAATTGAATGCAATTTAATGACGGGAAACTCAATGGTCATGAAACCTACGACCATTTATTATGGCTTATCGTTTCATATTCCGTGAAACCGCCGATGACTTAGTATATATATGGGGAGGTCTTCAAGCATAGAGATGAAAAAATTCTCGGGGCAAGAACCTCGTATAAGAGAGGTGAAAGATGAAGATAGTTTGGTGAAGTGCAACAAGTTTGATGCGTGTTTTTGAGAGAACATGAGGAACTTCGAGGAACGGTTTGGAGTTATGACCTGTATGGTGAGTTACACGTGATTTATTTTTAAAATGGTTGCATGCCTTATTATCCAAAAGATGTTTGAAGTTTCTCGAGATTTTTGATATGCTGTATATGCGTGAAAAGTTCGATATTTTTATAATATGTGTTTTAAGTACTTGTGTGTCAATGGGGATGTACTATGGTATGATTTTGTAAAGACGAGCATGCTTTGTGAGCTTGTCTAAGCCGTAAGTGCGGACATACTGTGTGAGTTCGCCAGGTAATGCTGTGTGAGGTAGACATCTCTCATGACGTTGTTGCTTTGTGATGTAGACACACACTATAATATATTTATTTTGTGAAAAGTATTATTCTCATCAAGGCATGCTAATTTATGAAGCTTTGTGAAAAATTGTTTATTATAAAAGTTGTTGTTCATGCATGAAAACCGTAGATTCACTGGGCCTAAGGCTCACCCAAAACTCTTTTAAAACTTTTTCACCCAGGCGGCTATTAGACTGGAAAGAAAAGTTGGATAAAGGGAGAAATAAGGATTATCATCAAAAAAGGACATGTGCAGATCAAGGCATTGTTCAATCGAATAAAGTATGTTCGTCAAGATTGTAAGTTTAGATGGTGATACAAATTGTAAGATTAGAAATTTTACTTCCGCTGCAATGTAAGTGTTTGATATTGGGATACTAGTTTTGATATATTTAAGTATTCGAAATTTTGGGATGTTACAAGTGGTGTTATCTTCTTTATGGTTATCTTTTCTGTATCTTTTCCTTGATTTAGTTTCCCTTTATCTCTTGTAAATACACTATATATAGGGCCTTGTATAATCAAAGGAAGGTTTGAGAAATCATTATTCAATTCATCTTTCTTGTCACTATCTAACATAGGACCCTAATAACCTGTATGACAACTCTGCAATCCTTCCAAAGTCCCATCCCAACCTCACCAAACACCCGAGCCTGCTATCCTAGACAAGGCAGCGCACAGGCATGTATGAATAAGAAAACAAAGATGTAATTTATGAAGAGAAAATGTATAATATAGAACTTATAAATCCAAATAATCTCTAGAAGTAAAATATTTTATGAGAAGTTGTTTGAACTGTTCTTATGATACTGGTCCTACTGTGTTCCTTTGTGTTTCTTCTCATCTTGTGAAGTTTGTAGTTGACACATATTACTAGTGAACATACTAAATTAACACGCGTTCTAGTTTTTCCCAAAACAAAATAAGAATCACATATGGAAGTTATCATCACTTTAAAGTCATTGATGATTATTGATGTACTGAGACACTCGCATCTTCCTAGAAATCTTCATGAAATCGTTCGCTTAGCTGCAGCAACAGAAATGTAATACTCACGCATGAGCCGGAACTTGGTAACGAGCTTCTCTCGATCTGGCCAATTTTCTTTGATTTCTGGGATGTTAGAAAAGTTCTCTTTCCATTCCAATATAAGTGGAAACCTCTCTTTATCTAAGAGTTTTATGCCACCTGTTTCTTCAAATATTCCGAGATAATTGGCAATCCATCCAAATGCAAGATCTAAGAATCCAAATGTTGCTCCACTGAAGAATTTCTTCCCAATTAGCTGTTTTTCGATTATGTCAAGGTTCTGTAAGGCAAGACCCTTGGCTTCTTCTTTCTCCATCTCTTGGCTGGTGTACGCATGAAATACCGATGGTGCGACCTACATTTAGAGGAAATTGCATGTTAGATTTATTCTTATTTTTATGCCAAACAACATAGGTTTTATGTATATATGTTTTAGGTTATGTCATTTTACGTTTTGAATGCTAATATAACTTGTGTAGCTGTTCCCGGACTTGGTTAGAAAGGTGCATTTCATTTTCTCATATGAATATGTGGCAAAAACAGAGCTTCTTTACGGTGATGTATCCACCCGCAAAATTATTCATTTGGCTGCTTTCTTCTCGAGTAAAAAAGTTTTCGATCACTGTACTACAAGAACCCTGTATTTTTGCATTGAACTAGAATATCATTAGTGATAATGTTCTTTTTTAATGAAATTTTCTAGAAATATTATTGAAGGAAGGAACTCTAGGAGTTAGGAATGTTTCTATCTCTTGTGGGTTTTTGGTATTGGGTGCAAATTGAAAAATAGTTGTTTGGTTAAGTATTCTGAATCAATAGTCTGATTATCATGTTCAGATAGAATGGTAAATCTTGACTTTCCGTGAAATCTTATGGAACCAAACCAAACGAGCCCGGTATATCCCATCCGGAGGCAGGGTTGGGGATTTACACAGACCGATCCTCAACCTGTTTACATGAAGACCACGGCTAGCAAAAAGTGTGTACGAAAAAGAAAGCTTGCCCAAAAAGTCTAAATGATTTGAAAAAATGGAGAAAAAATTGGAAAAATGGAAGAAGATTGAGGCTAGAGACGAAAAAGAAAAGAAGACCAAGGCTAGAGAAAAGTAAGCAACATCATATAATCAGAAGTAGGTACATAGTGAAGATACGACTATCTAAGGAGATCTTATTGATACCCTCATTTTCTCAAGTTTCCTATGAGGCTTCATATCTCAATTTGGTGTAAATGTATATCCCAAGGCCTTCGCGCATTTTGTGAAACTTGTGGATTAGAGCCTCTTCATCGGGCCAGGTTTCTTTGATCACTGGAACATCACCAAATTGTTCCATCCATGTGCATAGATTTGGAAACATTTGTTCGTCTAACAGCTTTAGATTGATTGCCTTGTTTATGACACCAGGATAACAAACCAGCCACCCAAACACAAGATCTAGGAATCCAAACACTTCCCCATCGAAGAACTTCTTTCCCTTTAGGTGTTCTTCTACAAATTTCAGGTTCTCCAAGACTTTTTCTTTGGCTTTCTCTTGATCCTCCCCCTGCCTCATAAAATAACGGAAGAACGAAGGGAAAACCTATATTTAAGACGCAAAATTTCTTAAAACATTTGCTTAGAATCTGAATCATTCTATTTACTAAAAAAACAGATTGCTTATCGTGGTTTAAGTAACGATCTAAACCATGGAATGTAACGAGGTTGAACCAAAGTTGACTGGTTCAGTTTGAAATTTTTTACACTTATTGGTTTGGTTGAGAGAAGTCAGAATCAAATTTACACTGAATTGTGATTAAGAACTCATCTATTGCAGGTTATGGCTCGATAGCAGTGGTGATTTTTCCTGGTACATTACAAAAGATTTTGCAACTTGGTAAACATGTAACCAACCTTACCCTACCTCCAGGTGGGATATATTGGGCTCGTTTGGTTTGGTAAAGCTAGGACCAAATATGCATGGCTGATTCATGTTTCCATCCATAACCAGGCCATTTACGCTAGCATCATCTGACTAACCGTTGGGAGTCCCACAACGGACCATAAAACCTGTATATATGTAAGAACCCCCTCTCTCTATAAGAGATCTTTTATTGAGAGATACATCAAAGTTCAAGATATCCTCGCACTAACAACACAGTTTTGGGATTTTCTTGGTTGTTATCTTCAGGGCCACAGGTGATTTTCTTGTGTCCGTCATCTTTAGGGCCGCATGAGATTAGTCAAGGTGCGCGCAAGCTGGCCCACGCGCCCATGGTTACCAATAAAAAAACAACAAAATTGATTGCAGGTTATTTATGGGACAAGAGTAGTAACAATTTACCTGCTCATCGTTAAACTTTGCCCAGAAACGTGCGGTGGCTCTGGCAAGCGGATCCTTGGGTAAGAAACGCACACCTTCGTTCCATGTCTCATCGATGTACTCGAGAATCACAAGTGATTCACAAATGGGTATTCCGTTGTGCAACAACACGGGCACTTTCTTGTGAACAGGGTTGTATTCGAGTAGCGAAGAACTCTTGTTGGCAAGATCTTCATAAATGGTCTCATACTCTACGCCTTTCAGTTTAAGTGCCCAAACGACCCTCAGAGCAAATGGGCTTGACCATGTCCTGAAAAGCTTCACCTCTCCCATTTCTCTTGCTTTCTTGGTCTAAACCTGCGTTTTATGGCTTTCTTATATATAGGGTGCAAAACCAAACCATTTGTTAGGATGTACCCCCTTTGAACATATCGATATACATATTTGCAGGTTTGATGGTATGTGTCTAGTTGACGTGGGACCCAACACAGTTGAACCACAATAAGTGAAACTCAAACGGTCGGCTTGGCTTGGCCTCATGAAATTCAGGTTCGGTCGTATTATAGATTGATCAGGTCAATTTTACTTATATTACTTACATTTGTCCATGCTGCATTTTCTATTACTATTTATGTTTGTTTACGCACACTTTGCTTGCTCTGTTAATTTTTCATTTGTTTGCAAGCTGGTTTTCATGGAAACTGTCTCTCTACCTCATGAAATAGAGGAAAGATCTGTGGTCATCTTAGGGGCCGTTTACCAAGCGCTTATTCGGGTAAGTGCTTATTAAGTCACAATACCTTACCGGATGAATATGGAAGGACCAAAAATCTTACTCGGTAAGAGCGAAGGTAGAGACCGAGAGTCTTACCCGATAAGTGAGAACGACGACCCTTACCACGGTTAGTGCTCACCTAGTAAATTGTTGCATACGATTATGTTTTGGTGGACTAAAATCTTACCCGGTAAGCAAGTGATGGTGTTGAATTTTGCTGGTAAACACTTATCCGGGCAAGCGTTTCGTAAACCGCCTACTATAGGATTTATTTGGTTTTGTTTTCTTAACATGGCCCTGACTCATCTGTTGATTGGACCACTGTTAATTGGCGTCATGACCAATGTTTGTTGCGCATGAATAGTATCTTGGCCGGCTTTTTTGTTTACTAGTTGTTGTCACTTGAATAATGGCATAAAAGCCGACCATAGGGGAAACACTTGATTTGGTTCATATGATAGTAACAATAATGATGATGATAATAATAATAGTAATAATAATAAGAGTTAATTGCATTTTTGGTCCTTGTGCTTAGTCAAGTTTCTTGGATTAGATCCCTACCAAGTTTTTTATTGCAAAAAAACCCTGCAGTATTAAAAAATGCTTGGTTTTGATCCCTCTCACTATTAGCGTTTAAAAATCGATTAAGTCAGGGGTTTCTGGTCTTTTTAATATTCAACTTTTTGTCCTTTTTTCTATTTTATTTTACTAGAAGGGTACTCGTGCAATGCATCGAGACACATTTTCATTTCAATGTTTCGTTTTATTTTTTATTCATGTCGCTATAATACGATTTTATGTGGTTTTGAGAAAACGATAATGTTTTATTTTTGAATAAAATATAAATTTGAAAATATCATATAAAATTTACAAAAAATATATCAATATTAGTATCAAATTAACTACTTAAAAGTTTTTGTTTGTATATTTTTTTAATTCAAATTTTTTATTATAATTTAATTTAATTTGATTTAGGTTTAATAAATTTCGATGGGAGCTCTTCTTGCAGCAATAACGCGTTGATCTAGTCGCCACCGGAACCACAAAGGACTACCTAAATTGATTTGTTTTTGCCAATAAGCTCCAATTACATCATAGGTATCACAAAAAAAAGGGGTATGTTTTTTTATAACGATAATAATTAAGTATTCTTGTGCAACATAGAAAGGAAAAGCTATTTGGATGCAGTATCCAAATGAATTTTATTACTTTCCAATTGAAGTAATCACCTGAAACATCCCCTTACTTTTCTTTGCATCTGATGCAATCTGGAAGAACGCTGTAGTAAATTAAACACGCTAATTATTTCACGCACACATACAGAAAACAAGTGTTAAATCTTATTAACAACTTCACATCTCACTTTCCTGTAGGAACTTATATCCCATGGCTTTTGCGAATTGCCCGAAACATCAGAATCACTGCATCTTCATCAGGCCAGTTTTCTTTGATCACTGGAAAGTCAGAAAATCGTTCTTTCCATGCACACAGATTTGGAAATGTCTCTTCGTCTAGCATCTCTAGATTGACCGCCTTTCTAATGATGCCAGGATAATAAGCCAACCACCCAAACGCAAAATCTTGGAGTCCATATGTTTCCCCACCAAAGAATTGCTTTCCCTTTAGATGTTCTTCTACTAGTTTCAGGTTCTCTATGGCTTTTTCTTTGGCTTCTTCTTGATCCTTCCCTTGGCTCAAAATGCAATGGTAGAACGGTGGGATAACCTACATTGAAACGAAGAATTTATTGAATTCTTTCCTTTAGAAGTAATGGGGGATTGATGGAGTATGATATTGGGCCTTGATTAACAACATATTTGTTAGGATATCTAGAACCCTTTTGGATCTTTCTCCAAAGACACAACAAAAACCTGTTGTCCCATGTTTGGTGCACAACACAGAACCTGATTGGGACAAAAATGTATTTTCTTTGTTCTGTGAAATAGGTGGAACAAAAATCTTGGAGACATTAACATGACGCTTGTAAACAAGTTTGATGGTTTGTGTTTAGCTGATATGAGACTCTAACAGTATTATCAATTGCAGGTCATTGTACTAGAGTAGTGATGATTTACCTGCTTGTCACCAAATTTTGCCCAGAAACGTGTTGTGGCTCTGGCAAGTGGATCCTCGGGTAAGATGCGAGGACTTGTGTTCCATATTTCATCAATGTACTCGAGGATTACCAAAGGGCCTTTGGCCTAGCGGTATTGTAGCCCTTGACCTTCTAGGAGGTCAGGGGTTCAAACCTCACCATAGGTGAGGAGGGTGTGTGAGTTTATTTGTTGCTTTTGCCGTATATAAATATTATATACTTCAAAAAAAAAATGTACTCGAGGATTACAAGTGATTCACATATGGGGGTTCCGTTGTGCAACAACACCGGGACTTTTTTATGAACCGGGTTGTATTCAAGTAGCAAAGAACTCTTGTTCTGTAGATCTTCATTGATGGTCTCATAGTCTATGGCTTTGAGTTTGAGTGCCCAAACAATCCCTGAGGGCAATTGGGCTTGCCCAATTACTGAATAACTTCACCTCTCCCATTTCTTCACCTTTCTTGGCCTAAACCTATGATTTCTTAATTACTTTTTATAAAGGTGGGAGTCCAAAGTGTTGAACCCATCGTATTACTGTTCAAAAGAGTTCTTGGAGAAAGAAGATTCCAATATATATTAAGGACAAACAGTTTAAGTTTAGCTGATATGAGACTCCAATACTGAAATGGTCAACTTGGTTTGGGACAATTTGGTTCAATGTTGGCAATGTCTTTGTACATCTTATTTTTTTAGACCATCTTTTCGAGTGAAATATACTAAATAAGTCTGGTTTGATTTGGTCGTCGTACTTCAATTTAATTTGATTAATTCTACGTAATAACCAATGTTTATTGTGCATGGGAGGGGGAGCATCTTGGCCTGCCTTTGTATTGCATGGATGATAACAATTGTTATTGCATAAAAGTCGGCAGGGCAACATCTTTATTTGATTCGTCTCATACGAATATTTAAAATAACTTAATTATATAAAAAATCTGTATTTTTTTCACAAGTCGGGGGTTTTATGACAACAAATGCTCCATTTTTCAGAGTAAATGACAAGTTTGCATATATCCAAACCCCATACAATTCTTAGTCCATGGAACATATTTATATATTGAGTGTGTTTGGTTTAAATATCTTGTGTTCGTGCTATTTTTTTATTTGCAGTTTCAGTTTATTTTTTATATTTCGGGTTTGTTGGTTGGACATAGTTGTAACTAGCTAGTTAAGTTAAAGATTAAAGCCAATGTTTACTAAAGGCTTACCTAGTAAGCACTTATCGGGTCATTTACTTTACCAGATGAACATGACAAGAGCCGAGAATTTTATCCCGTAAGAGTAATGATGAAGATGGAGATTCTAACCGATAAGCACTTGTCGTTCAAATTGTTGCATACAATATTGTTTTGATGAACTACAACCTTATCCAGCACAATATGGTAAAGTATTGAATTTTACTAATAAACGCTTATTGGGTAAACGTTTGGGTAATGGTCCCTAAAAGGAAAAAAATATATAAGAATAAAGTGTTGAGGTGTTAGTTTGTTTTAATTATTCATAGTCTTATGTTTACTCAAGAATTTTAATATAGTTAAATGCAAATAAACATACAATCTTCTAGAAAAAGGGTTGTGAATGTCTTTACAATGACTTAAATTTTAAATAATAAGAAAAGTCTAAAAAAATTCAATAAACTTTAGTGTTTGGATTGATTAAGTTTTTGGACAATTTTTTGGAACAAATAAATCAATAAACAAAGGGACTCTGACTCAAATTTTAAAATTGCATGTCTAACTATCGTTTCAATAGAAGCAAACGAAGAAAGGATTTTTTTTTCATATTTCAAACTAAAATATATAGACAGAATAAACATGAATGCAATATTTAAAAAAAAAGGACGGAGTTTGATAACATTGATTCAAATTTATCATAAAGTCATTGATTCATAACTTTTGAAGCCCTTTTAACACCTTTTTCTACTTTTTGATGGTTACTTGTGTTTTCTTTGATACAAAACTCTATTTTTTTCGTCAATTCTAAATTGGTATATAAAATTATAAATACAAGTCAACATCTTTGTAGTACACAAAGGTGTATTCAAATATGATTATTCCAGTCAAACGTGTGAAGAAAACGTATTTCCCATTTACAAGAATTCGCGCTCTGTATTCCGATGCCAACTCTCTGTTCCAGTACAACTCAAAAATTACGAGGTGTTTCAGAAATGGTGATATTAAAGCTGCACTCGATGTGTTTGATGAGATTTCAGTCAAGAATACCGTGACTTGGAACTGTATGATATCTGGGTATGTTAAAAATGGGATGATTTCTGATGCCCGACAAATGTTCGATGTAATGCCGAGCAGAAATGTTGTATCTTGGACAGCTATGTTAAACGGTTATGCCAAGTGTGGGAGACTGGATGAGGCCAGGAGCTTGTTTGACGTTATGCCTGATAAGAATGTGGTTTGTTGGAACGCTATGCTATCTGGGTATGTTCAGAACCGGCAAATTGAAGACGCCAAGAGGTTGTTTGACCAAATTCCGGAGAAGAATCCAGTATCTTGGGCGACAATGATCGAAGGTTGTTTCTGCAAAGGGCTTGTAGGGGAAGCAAAGAAATTGTTCAGTTCTTGCCTTTTTGAGGATGTCTTGATTAACAATGCTATGTTAACCGGTTACGTTGAAATCGGAGATCTTGAATCATTGTGGAAGTTGTTTACTGGAATGACTGAGCTCGATGTGGCTTCATGGACAAGTACCATTCGTTGTTTCACAAGGGCTGGGAAGATGGAGAAAGCCCAGGAATTGTTTGATGAAATGCCTACAAAAGATATAATCGCATGGACTGTGCTGATTCGAGGTTACCTACAAAATAATAAAATTAAAGAAGCTCGGAAACTGTTTGATGAAATGCCTCGTCGAGATACAGTTTCATGGAACTCAATGATCGGTGGGTATGTTAAAATCGGACGCTTAGAAGAAGCTTTTGAGCTTTTCAAGAAGATGCCAAAACATAATATAGTGTCGTGGAACACGATTCTTCAGGGATATGCACAGGATCATGATATGCTTAAAGCTTGGATCTTTTTTGACAAGATTCCTAATAAAGATCGAACCACTTGGAATATAATGATTTGTGGGTATCAGAACGACAAATCTTTGGATTTATATACCCAAATGCTTCAAAATGGTATCAAACCCGATCAGGTAACATTCACTGGAATGATTTCTGTTTGTGGATCACTTGCTGTTAACTGTTGGGGGAAAGCAATGCACTTGTGTGTCATAAAATATGCTTACGATAACGATCCCATAGTTTTAAGTTCATTGATATCCATGTACTCCAAATGCGGATTTATGAACGACGCTAATTTGGTTTTCGATACAACTAGTAGAAAAGATACAGTTTCGTGGAACGCTATGATTGTGGCGAACGCGTATCATGGCTCTGCCATGAAGTCTTTGAAGCTATTCTTTTCCATGACCAAATTTGGATTCAAACCCGACCATTTGACTTTTTCAGGTCTCTTAACGGGTTTCGCTCATTCAGGTATGGTCCATGAGAGCTGGAAGTTCTTTAATTCGATGGAAAAAGACTGGAACGTAAAACCTACAGCTGAACATTATGCAATCATGATTGATGTTCTTGGTAGAACAGGGATGCTAGCCGAAGCATATGAATTGGTTAAACAATTGCCAGTTGAGCTTCCGGTGTATACATGGGAAACTTTACTAAGTTGTTGTAGGGTCCACGAGAATTTTGAACTCGGGGAAGTGGTGGCACGAAAGCTTTCTGGCACTCGGCCTTTGGATGTTGGGATGGGTGTACTGCAATCAAATATATATGCTGCAAGAGGCATGTGGGAAGATGCGGCTAGCGTTAGAGCGTTGCTAGCATGTGGCAAGGTGAAGAAAGATTTGGCATGTAGTTGGATTGAATTGAAGGGTCGGGTATTTTGGTTTGTTTACAACGATAGATCGTGTATCCAATTGGAGGAGCTACACCGAGCATTGAAGAGCCTGTCTGCTGCAATGGATATATATGGTTGAGGTACATTATGTTTTATTCATAAATGAGCATATGCATAAATTATCAGCAGTAATCGTAAGATTTAGAAATATTTCTACACATTGTACAACTATTTCAAATAACCCTTCTGCCAAATCATGTAACTGAAGAAGTCAACAACACATTTAGTCATCAAATCCATTGAATTCACTAATTCAAAGCATCTGTTCAAATAGACTAAACATGTATAATGCATAAAATTAATATTATTCAAAGCATTAGTTGACATTTCCTAGCAATCTCATAAAATTCTACTCCATTGAAATCCATGTTGAAGCAAATATTCGAATGCAACTTCAAGTACTAAACAAAATCTAAAATAGCCAAATAAAAACCATCTGTGTGTTTACCCAGCATGTTCAAAAATTAAAATATCCTCTGCAACCTGAACCTGATTCTCGATTTGGTCTTCTTCAATAATCTCCGACTGCTCCGTTGCTTCTCTCGTGGTGTGTAACACCCTCCCAAGACCCTCGAAGCTGTTATAGAAAATAGACAACATAATGCTAAAAACGGAATAAACTAAAAATTTCATCATGAAATACAATGAAAGTCTAATGCCAAACGTTAGATCCATCAATTAAAAGCGGAAGTCTAAACTAAATAACAGGAGTCAATCTACTAGTCCATCCCATACCGGACTATTTAATATAGCAAATAATAACAAAAGCAGCCTAGTGAACTAGCTAACAGTTACGCCGACTATTTCCCTTTGCTGGTCCCCGCATGAATGCCTCCTGAGATACACAATATGGATTAGCTTAACAAAGCTAAGTGAGTTCATGAAATACTAAGACAACATAACATTAAGCATTGTAATAACATATTTGAATTGCAACAATTCACCAAGCTTATGACTGATCACCCATCAATCATGTTAGGACCAAATAATATGTAAGCAATATCTTGTATTGTATTTGGACTAAGGAAACCTGCACATCTGAACTGAACTGGAATGTTCGCAAGACCTATCTTCACATATCTGGACTAGAAGATCTCACTATGTCTAAGTCTTAAAGATTTTCCTATCTCTGAACTGTACTACAAGACTAAGTATAAGTCTTAACTCTGAAGTATAAGTTTTTGGACTGTCTAACTCTGAACTATAAGTCTTAATTCTGAAGTACAAGTCTTCAGACTTTATAACTGTGAGCTGTAAGTCTTAACTCTGAAGTATAAGTCTTCAGACTTTATAACTCTGAATTATAAGTCTTAACTCTAAAGTATAAGTATTCAGACTTTCTAACTGTGAACTATAAGTCTTAACTCTGAAGTATAAGAGTTTCGAACTCTGAAGTATAAGTCTTCAGACTTTATAAGTGTGAATTGTAAGTCTTAACTCTAAAGTATAAGTCTTCAGACTTTATAACTCTGAATTATAAGTCATAACTCTAAAGTATAAGTCTTCAGACTTTCTAACTTTGAAATGTAAGTCTTAACTCTGAAGTATGAGAGTTTCGAACTCTGAACTGTAAGTCTTAACTCTGAAGTATAAGATTTCGGACTTTATAACTCTGAATTGTATGTTCTAACTCCGAACTGTAAGTCTTAAGTCTTAACTCTGAATCATATCCTTACTAAATTTAAATTAAATTGTACTAAAAAGATTATACAAAATACGAGAACTTTTAAATTGTTAATTTGATATTAATGTTTATAGAAATTTTTATGGATCTTCAAATTTATATTTTGTTCAAATATAAAAACATTATCATTTTCTCAAAACCGTATTAATAAACCAAAAATTAAACTTTAAATGTTTCTCGTTGCATTATGCAAGTACGCCTCTAATTATTTTTTTATGATATTTTACTTTTTTCATTTTTCATTTTTCATCATTATTTTATAAAAATAACAATCACATATTAATTAAAAAATACGTTTCTAAATAAATTACACCTAATAGTTTTCTCTCATCAATATCTTCAAATTGAGCCTAATATTGAATATTTTTGGCTAATTGTTTTTACAAATTACACCATTATAATCATCTCCACAGTCCCATCACTTGATTTAATTCTATACATGTAATAAATAGATAATATTGAATTATCGACACACAAATAAATACCGTAAAACGAAAAAATTGTGTTTGCAAAAGATGAAAATATTTTTACATATCAACACTCATGTTTGCTGTCTTCACCTCAACCAATTGAAATTTCAGACCACACGGTTTTCGTGAGACCACTTTTTTACAATTGAAATTTCACAACAAAACACTGTGAAGGTAAAAGAAAATCTGAACCTTCACCAAGTGTAAAAAAGTGGTTTCACGAAAACAAACTCGTCTCACGTGATCCCAATCCTCCAAAAAACACCATCTTTTTTTTAAGACTCCATAAGAGACAGATATGAGGTACCATGATCAAATAATTCACAGGATTTCAGAAATGATCAGCCGCTAGCCGGCTTGTAGTTGCCTTTTCTACTCCAGCACCGCAATTCTCAAAGAGGATGGGCCGGTAGTATTTGTCTCCCGTAGATCTTCAAGTTTCGGGCATGACCAGATATCAAGGAACTTAAGGCAGGGGAGGCGTTGTAAGGCCTCTGAAACTAATTCCAACTCCATAAAATCAATGATGTCTAGAGTCATTAGAGATGGTGGAAGAAGAAACGATGTTGAAGTCACATCTTTTGCATTTGCAACAAATGAAACTACTCCTGAATTTTCTCCGAATAAGGTTAGATCAACAAGTGATGTTGGGTAATTTTGAATCCCCCATTTTGACATGGGCTTATTTAAGCATCCTATTGTTAGGCCTCTCAAATTAGGAGGCCACAACCCACAAGGAAATGAGTAATCCATACTTGGACAATGAGATATCAGCAACCTTTCCAAAGATGTGAGACTTTCCAAATGCTCATGAGGAAATGACTTCAGATTTTTACAATTACTTATTTCCAATATCCTTAAGCTCACAAGAAACTTGCACGCCTCCGACTCTGATTCACACAGATATCTCAATTCATCACATTCACCGATGCTTAGATCTTTAACTGCCCCAAGAAGCTCTCCAGTTAGTTGAGCAAGTCCTTCAATATTCTTTATTTTCAACACACGAATTGATGAAGACACACCAACCATGCTTTCAAAAACATCTTTAGAACATCTTTCTATCCATAAATCCCCAAGTGACGGTATTAAATCAATTGAGATTTCAACTAGTTTCGGACAATCTCTTATAGAAACAATACGAAGACGAGGAAACGATCTAGCAATTCCATCATTGCCCCCACGTCTAGTTGACCATCTCTCCCAACCTTGCATATCTTTAAATCTCAAAGTTTCAAGTGATGGAAATACAATTACCTGGAAAGAATCAGTAGGTCCAAACAACTCCAAACCCAAAGTCTTTACCCCATCCATGCCTTCCACAGACAACTCCTTAAGCGACTGTAGATATCCGAGTGCTGGTAAACATGTACATCTTCTACAACCATGTAATCTAAGTTCTGTTAACAGATCAAACAAGGGATTCCCGACCCAACTAGGAAATTTCATTCCCCCATAGAACAAAATCACCAGCTTTCTCAACTTATAATGAGGCCTTAACCCTTCAAGTACTTCATATTCACTCGTATGTTTCCCAGAATTATCAAAGTCATCACTCCATTCCATCACCAAATCATCAAGACCCTTCTTTTCTTGCAACTTGGCATCATTTGCTTGGATTGGACTTATCACTTTATCAAGCCCCTTAATGGAAAGCCGACCTTCAAGATCCGATAGACCCTTAAGCTCCGATATTTTAAACCCATTACCTCCTTCAATAATGACCTTAGGTAGAGTTTGTAGACCCGTCAACCCACCGATACCCAAGGGCATCTTGTTCAACATTGGAGTATCGCTGATGTCAAGATGTCGTAGGTTTATCAACTTAACAAAACTGATGGGCAAGTTAGATAACTTCTGACAACCACAAACCAACAAGCTTTGTAGATTATAGAGGTCACTGACTTGTTCCGGTAACCGTTCGATGTTAGTTTATGAAAAATTGAGGTATCGAATATGCTTGAGACTACCAATGGAATGTGGTATCTCAGAGATCGAATGATTATGTAGGCTTAGCACCTTTAAGAACTTCAGTTGGGGAAGTACTTCGGCAAGAACATTGTTCGATAAGTGGAGACGTGACCAGGAATAAAGTGAAACAGGTAAGAAAGTTCGCAAGCCTCTAGCTCTTTGTAATTCCTTGAACTTTCTATATGTTCCATATTCTTGACCAATAAAAGAAACATGACGGAACTTTTCGAAAGATTCATTCACGTCATACGAGTCCATTTTATCATCCAACCTAAAGAAAAACTCTCCAGCAACACTCGTGGCCAAGTCAATAATCAAGTCATGCATTATGTATTGCTCAATAGTTGACGTCTGAAAAAAGGACCTTGACTTTAGCTCTTCAAAATACTCACGACCCAAMCTCTCCTTCGATTTCCTTCCATTTGATTGGTTCAAGAACCCTTCTGCCATCCACAATAAGACGAGCTTGTTCTTGTCAAACACATAGTCCTTAGGAAATAAGGAGCAATATGCAAACAATTGCTTCAAATGTGAAGGGAGGTCATAGTAGCTTAATCTAAGAGCCGGAAGAATCTCTCTTCCATCGTCCAAATTCCATATCTCACTATTCAACACCTCCTCCCATTCATCATCCTCTGTTTTTGTCCTCAACATCCTTCCAAGCGTTATCAAAGCCAAGGGCAATCTTCCACATTTCTTCACAATGCCTTCACCACGCAATTTAAGTGTTGGATGCTTGTCAAAGTTTTGTTCATCGATTGCATATTGAGCAAATAAAGACATAGCCTCTTCTTCTGACAAACCTTGAGATCATAAGGCTGACAAGAGTTCATGACCGATGCAACCTTGGTCTTGCGGGTCGTCACAATAACTTTACTTCCAGGTGCCCCTACAACAAAAGGGCTTTGGAGGAGTTCCCACTCTCTATAGTCTTCGTTCCAGACGTCGTCTAGAACAACTAGGAACCTTTTGTTGGAAAGTGTTTCTTTAAGAGCCACATGAAGCAGATCTAGATTAGC